AACACAGGATAAGAGCGCAACAATTCAGAGCGCTCACAGGCAAGGCTAGGAGAGAAACACTGCTTTGTTTTGTGGCTCTGTTTCTCCCACCTAAACCATCTGTAGTAGTCTGGCCCAGATTTCTACACAGAAAGAAGCCTACTGAGCTATAAAAAAATGCCTACGCAAGAAAATCCACTGAAATTTGGAATTAAGTTCACTATTTACAGGAAAGATTGCTTGTATTGATAACTTACCCCTGAAAGAGCTGGGGTCGGGGGAAGCTGGAAAGACCTAAGAGACAACAGACAGAACAGCCTCCTAGGGCATAACTCAAGCCATTGATTCATGTGAAAAGGTATCATTATCAGCAGGCATCTTTGTCCACAGACTACACTTTAGAGAAAAAATGATCTTATAAAAAAAAGACATTCCTGAACTTCTCCCTTTGAGTTAAGAGTTTCAGAACAAGACAGTACACACTAACGTACACGTGACTGTTATGAATGCGTTATTGTTTGCAAGATGCTTTTAATATTATATTTAACATCCTTAAATTCTACCATCGTGGTAAGAGACTAGCCAGAACACACTAAAAACACTGACTATTTCTCATTGACAAATGAAAAGCGAGCTCGACTGTCCTCTGGACTTTTTTTTTTTTTTTTTAAATAATATGCTTAACTCATACTAAAGAACTGTTACTAGTTTACACGTGTGCTTTGGTGCCACACAAACCCAAGACAAAACGCAGGAACCAAACAGATCAGACCCTTCCAAAATTTTCCAAGGCAGAGCTTTGCGTTAGGTGCCTAAGTTGAGTGCCTGTCAGGACCCTCCGAATAGCAACTCAGACTACAAAAGGGACTGAAGCATTTTACTGGAACTTACCAAAGCAAAGCCTCTTCGTTGTATTTCACCACAGGGGTGTATAATCATACTATTTTATTAGTACAAAGCATTAATCTGCTTATTGTAAATAAACTTTAAAGACAAGGCTCTATTTCTGTTACAAATGGACAGAAGTACTAGAAGACTGCTTTAAATCTAAATAAGCATATAACAGTAATCATATTGTAGCCTACAAAGTTGCTCAAGACTGGAATTTTTTTTGAGGATTTTCAAATTAAACTCTATTACCATTCAGACCTTCATTTCTGCAATTCCTCATGTGAAAAGCAACAGAAAACTACACATTTTGAAAGCAACTTAGCCACTGTAGTAAGTTCCAATGGAGACAGTCGCAAACAGTTTGGGGTCCAGCAGTCCAAGTCTTAACTCCACTGTCTGAATCAGTCATTGAAATCATTTCCTTCTCTGAATAAAAAAAAGCTGAAAAGCAAGTAAAAGCATTTTACTGCTTTTTCCTGCTCTCTTTTTATCAATACTCACAATGCAGTTGTAGTTTTCTTATGCCTTTATCAAGCCTTATATATCACAAACAATTGCACTGAAGTTCTTCCATGCTCAGAGAGAGGCTTTGCATCTAGATATTTTCAGAATATTGAATAAGAAGATGCTCGCATTTTTATTTCTTTTCTCTAAAAGAGCTTTTCCCAAATTCCACAGTTATAAGTTTATAGTCCCTTCACTGTGGAGAACAAGACACGTGAAATAACCAGCATGACCCTCTCATAGGGGGCATGTCTTTGGGGCAAGAAATCTCAGGCAAAGCTGTATTACCGTGGTGCTTTTTGATAAGTAAATAGCAAAATCCATTACAGTTAGCTATCTGCAGACTTTTTAAAAAGTGGTTCACAATGGATGATGGCCAAGATGCTTCGGGGAAAAAAGAATTCTTAATGAATAGTACACTTCTAGTTTGTTTCTTCTGTCTCCACCTGTCACACTAAGAAAGCTACTTATCTAGGCTGGGAGGCAAAAAGTAAAACTTAATGGCAGTAGAATTAAGGAAAAGTCTTCCCTTCCCAAGTGTATTTAAGTCACCTCTTCAGCAAAACGAAGAAAACCTGTTCCCAAAATATGCATCTGATTACTCATAAATGCAGTTTATAATCATTGTCTAGGTCCACACTTGAAACTCTAATTTAGTTTCCTCCTTCTAAACTGCAAGATACCGAAAGATCAAGAAACCTAAATCCTAGCAGTAACACCCAGTACCACAAGTATATGATCTTTTTTTGCTGTGGAGGGTTCCAATGTCTTTAAACTATCTTGCAATTAATATTTACATGTTCTTGCATGCTCTGTGCTCTGGTGTTTCACCTCTGAATGGAACATAGGCTTTTTAAGGCCTTAACATCTACACTTTTTTTTTTTTATTTTTATTCTATCTTCTACAATGCAAACCACATTTAAGCAAAATAGCTTTAGGAATTCGTTAAAGCATCACTTCTGTCACTTCAGGAATGTTCTTGTCCATGTAAAAAAAATAGTAGAAATCCCACCCCGCTGGTCAAGAAAGAAGGGAAAAGTTTCACCCATCACTGGTTCTAAAATAAGCTAATACAAGTCTTAAACTGAAAGAGATGTCACATTTGTTAATCAATCGTGTAAAAATGAGAACTCTACATTTCATAACTCATGCATATTTTCCAGCTTTACTCTTCAAAAATGCTGATGCGTAAGCCCAGTGATAGTTTGCCTTGCAAGAACGCACAAATAGTTGGTATTTCAATTATCTTCAGAATAGACTCTAGTTACACAGAGGGAATTAGCTTTAAAAAAAAGACCCCAAAAAACAAAAAAATTGCATAACTGTCATATACGAATCCCCTCTAGTATTTTCACATTCTAATACAACAGGCTTGGTTGAAACATGGATTCCTGCTTCAGCAGGTATCAAACTACAGTTGAAAGAAAACAATCATCACTTGCCCCAGGAACCACTCACTGCCTGATGTTATCACTGACACAAGCCTTCTTCCATAAAAAGCTCTTAATAAGAGTGGAAAAGGAAGTTTTATGTTTTTCCAAGTCCTAAGCAAAGAGAGACCAACTTTACCCGTAACCTCGGGAGAGATGAGTAGTCTGCCTTTTCTTTTAGGGAAACACACACAGAAGCACATTTATTTCTTCCATGTTCTCGACTTCTGTTGAATATGACTTTATCTTAAAAAGCTAGGTAATTATTGTTTCTGGGTTTTTTATTATTATTAAAATTACATGCCAAAAGTTATATGCCCACATGATCTTTTAACATGGCCTCCTTCCAGGTTGATAATCTTGATTTAATCAGTAAACATTACCTTCTTTGTTATCTACTTAAGCTTTTACATACAAGATCAACTACCAATGCATTAATTATATATCGGCTTTTCTTTGTGGACAGTGTGCTTGATCCTTCTAAATTGTAAGAAAAAAAAACATATTTCTTTTTCAAGTAGTTCTCCTTCACATTTTCCACATTTCTTATCTTTGACCAACCTGAAATTTCACTGGGGCAAACAATTTTTGCTACGTTATCTCAAGCTATAGTGTTTTACCAGAAAGTCAAGAGAAGCGTAAAGTAAGTATCTTCTGAGGAAGAACCAGTCAGAAGATTTAAATACCTTACGCACTAGTTGTGAAGTTTCCAAGGTTGTACTGAGCTTTGCAGGCAGCTTGATCAATTAAGAAAAAAAAAAGCAGCAAGACTAAAACGCTGCTAATATCATCAGAGGAAAAATAATTTGAGGCTCACTCTTTACTTCACAGCCAAGTTGTGTCCAAGTATGCCAGAACAAGCTCCATACTACAGTGTTATCGTGACAGTGGAAAAGTCATCTTTGGACTATTCCACATATTATCTCCATAATCGTACAACTTAAAACAGACAAAAGATGAGGGGAAAAAAAACAAAAAAGAAAACCTAAAAATCTCATTGCTATCAAAACAGTCAGGAGTTATATTAACAAGAATACAATCCAGAACTGACGGTCAGCAGAGTTACTATTTCTTTCAAAGACAGAAATACTACAAAATAGTCATGGGACAGATTCTTCGCAAACCGACTGGCAGCAGCGCAGCCACCTCTCAGATCCAGCGAGTGACCTTCACCCTATAGCGTCAAGCACTTTAACATGAAGAAACTTAGCAGCTAAAAACTACTACACAACGACTGTGTGCTTTACACTAGAAGACAGTGGTTTGGTCACTTCACGAACATCACCAGTTTCTCATGCCTCACAAAACGCATGGCGCATGTGAACAGTGCAGGGCTGTGCAGCACTACTAGATTATAAAAAGCCTTTGGCACAAATCGTATCTTACATTTCAACAGCCCTGAGCATAGTGACAGCATTCAAACAAGGTAAATATTTGATCAAGCGAGTGCACTTCTTTCGCAACACTGAAGCTGCAAGCTCACTGCACAGCACTTGGACTGCAATGCACGTTTTCAGTCACAAAATAAACTGGTAAGGATCAAATTCTGTTTTCAAATACAAAAATGTCATTCTTACCAACTTTGCAGGAATTATGTAAACACACACATCTACGGGCACCACTGTGCTCAAAAGTACGTAATTCATGAATCATTTTTTCCCCCTCAGATACATGCAATAAAAATACAATTAAAGCTGTTTTTCACTTTGCTGCGAAAACCTTCTGTACTTCACAAACAAAACTCAGTAATGAGAACAGGCTGCTCTCAGGCGTGAAAGAAGAGTAAGCTACCACTAATCTGAAATAGCATACGTTATTAGCAAGCTGACTTGTAACGGCAGTTAGGATCTCTCTCAGATCCTCTTTCCTTCAAAGAGGTTTTAAAAACCTTCATTAAAAGGGCCGCTTTTATTTGCCTCCCAACACATAAAAGCAGATAAAACAAAAACAATAGCAGAAAGAGACATTACCGTTACCTAGCAAGAACATCTCTTTCCACACATCCACACGTTTAAGAAAAATACTAATATTGAGAAAGCATTTTAAGGAAAGCTCGTGTTTGAATAACTTTGACGCTTGCATGCTTCAAGGAAAACATTTAGATACGCTTTCCGTTATTTAATTCAGAGAATAAAAACATATTATCTGTTGAACATAATAATGTCAGTAAAAATACTTTCTTTTTGTACACTTACTGCAATCTCTCTACAGGCTGACATGGATATCCCTGTACCTTCAATTTGCTTCAGTGCATATTCTTTTTCATCTTTTCTGTACACAAAGAGAGAGAAAGAAAAAAAGAAAAGGGAAAAATATTTTAGCTCCAATTTAAATCACACCAATAAATACAAGTGTAATGATTTTATTTTAACTTGGTCTAGATCAAGAAACTGAAATCTGGTTTTGTGCATTAACTACACCAAAATATTAAAAGCAGGTCTTCCTTTAACACAAACTTCAAAAATTACAAAACTCTTACATAAATAAACTTTGTTAACCTATACCCATTTGTCTCCAAAATCATGCTGATACCTTCAAACACATCTACAGAGAAATCACCTTCCTTGCAACTCTAGGACACAGTCTACTGTCATGAAACAAAAGCACATACATATCCCATGCTTAAAAGACTCTCCTAGAAATATCTAGGAACTACTTATTTGAAATTATGAGCCACTGCCAATCAACTTTGACTTTTGAAATACCATTAGGTTTTTAACTAATTAGACTTCTTGGAAGAACGTGAACTTCACTGGGCAGGTTTGGGTTTGCCAGAATACAAGTAGGTTAAGTGCTGCCGGGTACTCACCGGCAACAGACCCCTACGCAGTGTATGCAATCGCGCGCTCCGAAGAGCAAAGCCCCAGAACATGAAATGTTCTCCCCGAACACGGTATCAGCCTTGTAAGTAACCATAGTCCGAAGTAATTTATATGGAAGACCACCAGAACAAGATGACAAAGCACTATTTCAAAGCTCTTACAATAACCAGCTTATTGTCTATGGCATGGTTTGCCAGATTTCAGCTGTTATCAATAGACACTGGATAAGCATCAATTTTTGGACCCACTTTCCCACCACTAAGCACGATGCTGACGCACTCAGGCGAACCCACCAGTTGCAATTCCTGGGCAATTCAGCAACCCACAATCCCCATCCAGATTCCTTACAGCATTTCTGGTAGACTTTGGTTTCCCCTTTCTCCAGCCCCAGACCATTACCCTTTTGCTACACTGACAAATGGAATTGGATTATTCTCGGCCTCTCTTGCTTCAAACTCCACTTCTGCGTCCTGCCCAGTTTCTGCCTCTTTGCCAGCCTTCTCCAGAGCCTCCATCTCGAAAATCCATGGGATGAGAAGCAGCTCAGTAGAGAAATACAGCGGGGAGAGTGAGACAGACCAGAAACTATCCAGAAACCACCTACGCGTATTACTAACTACAGATGATCATTTTTATCAGCAGTTTTCAGTAGCAGTTAAACTACAAAGCATATCTATAGTTAAGACTGTTATTAGCTTTCACTTTGCCTGTTTTGCGCTACTTTTTTGTTAACATTTTAGAAGAAAAACTCTAGGTTTATTCTGACTACAAATGAAAATTCAGTGGATTGAAAGTTTTGCAAAAAATCAAATCCATCTTTGAAGTATGATTTATTAAGCAGTTATTCCAACAGGAAAACTTGAGTTCTGTTGTTTCACCTTAACTCACAAATAGTTTTTATTCCTCTTTCCAAAAAAAAAAAAAAATACTTACGTGAAATCTTTGGAAAGCCTATGCTACATTTGAAGGGATAACTGCCTTGAAATTAAGAACACAGACACTCAGTTGGAATTACAGTCTGCTTTATTTCAAGCAGGGTGTTTCATTTTGTTTAGCATTTGATGCAAAGGAGGCAAGATCAAGCATGTTAGGCTGCAGGCTTGGGCAGGCCTGGCAGGTTTGGAGTAATAAAAGCTCCTTCTGCAGTTTAAACTGAAGGAAAGGGCTACTTTAAGGTGATTTTGGAACTGCCAAAGGAAGAAATACTCCCTAGTTCTGCTGATGTATCAGATCTTCCGTGCAGAAATAGGAAGGATAGTAACTCGCAGTATGCCTTGCAACTGCACCAAAAACATTCAGCCATTCAGATACTTAGATGCAAATCTTAACAACATGCATGCATGACAACGAATACAACGTGATTAGACCCTCCCCTTTCAAAACAAAACTTTTGTTCCTTTATGCCAATTAAAATGAAATAGCCTTACACCGCAGCGTTGCGAACGCTGACTTTGTTCTTGAGAAAAAGTTTCAAGAGCAAAAAAAAAAGTTTAAGACGTTACCATTAACAACATCAGGCCACTTAGTGCATTGATAAAGATAATTCATAAGAGCTGTTCACCAAGTACACTTTCAGCAATAACTTCAGGAATGGACACGTCTCCTTTAGAAGCTGAAGGATTTATCAGGACCTACTGACACGATCATTCCGCTTCCTCCTTTGCTCGGCACTGAGCGGTCCTTTATGTTCAGGAATGAGTCACTTAAAGTGATTTGGCAGAAGTTACACGTGCAGCATCAAGAAATCTGTGCCTTCACAGCTAATAGGTTTATACCTTATCTTATACAAAGTGCTTTAGAGTTCATTAATTAGTCCAAAGTTTTAAAAAGTGAATAATAAAGGCTCACTCGCTCTCATACATGGTTCTGCTGTCTATGCAGGAGGTTTATGTAAGCTGCAAACCATTAACTCTATTAATCAGATAGTTAACTGAGACTAGGAAGACAAAGATCGCATTGTTTGCGGAATCAAAAAACATTTAAAAGCGGTCACAGTTTTTGAACTATGGTCATAGTTTTAAACTACACAGCACATGAAGCGGTGCAGACATACCCGCTTGAATCCCAAAACAATATAGCTACTACAGCACTGCGGTACACCCTTCTTTTGGCACGTCTGCTTAACTGGGCACAATAGCATACTGATACGAGTACACTTGAACTAGCTCTGCAGATGCAGGCATGACATTTGCTTAGACTGGCACAGATCGAAGGACACTGTAGAAAATGGGTACGCCGTTTGGCACAGGCTGCATACAACAGCATTGCTCAACACCACGGCCACTGCCAGCCTGGCATCGTTTGACAGCCAGTCACTCTCCACAGGGTTTTAAGATACAAACCAGAAATGATAAAAGATGTTAAAAAACAAAACAAACAAAAAAACTATACCGTAGGAAAAGAGGACAAGCTTGCTAAGCAGCAAACAACGTCTTCTAAGACGCTGCGCTTTGTGAGCGGTAAGGAAAAGGCAGGGGGGGGGGGATACTTAACTAAAATAAACAGGTATCAAGCATAAAGGTATCAAGTATAAAGAACTCCAAAGATGCCATATTGTAGCTCTCCCATATACAGATCTCCCGCAGTTCCCAATTATAAACGCAGCCTCCTTTAAATACATAGCACTTACTTGTTTCGCCAGAAATGCAACTCTATGTGAATACTTTTACTAAAGTTAAAGGTTCTTATTATGTAAATATAATAGCTGTTTAAAGTACTTTCCCAAAAGATCTCCACCAAGTGGCATTTTCAAATAATATCTCCCATTTAAGGGTAACCTCAAGATAATCCGAGAAAGAAATACACACTGAGTCAGTTGATGCAATGTGATGAAATACACAGTTCTATTTACTCAATAAAAGTGTATTAAATGGCCAAAGAAAAAACAGGTAATTAATAGGCCATTTCTCCACTCATAAGAGTTCAATGAATAATGCACAAATGAAGTTATATGCAAGTATGCTGCTCAGCTCCCTAGATCCACACTCCTAAGAAACCCTTGGCAGGGAGGGAGAGGAAGTAGTATTTCTACACGATGCTGAACACGCAGAAAAATTCTAGCGAACTTTAAGCACTTTTCAAGAACCGGTAGGGAAACACACAGCAGGAGAGCTTTCATTTGCAAAAATTCTTCTCCGACAGATCTGTATCAGTACGTTTTTCTTTATGGAGCAGAGCAAGTGCGATTTAAGTTTAAGAACCAAACCGTTATCACTACCACTACTACACAACTCTGATATCAGGCAAAAGGCACCCAGGCCAGGGAGAGCCAAGCAGAAGCAAGGTCTTTGTCCATACACATTTTCACCTGGGCCACAGAAATATTGGCCAGGTAGGAGGCCAGTTAACTGTGAAGGCCTGCTATGTGTGAGTTTGTCTAAAGGCAAGGGGTAAGCGGTGGAGACCAAAGTTTAACCGAGCAGGGTTTATTAAACACCTCCTCCCCCATCATCTAAAGGTGGCAGTAGGCTCACTGAACTTGAGCAAAACAACAATATCGAAATATAACTGAGAAGGAACAATATTCTTCAATAGGTTGCAACTTTATCCATTTTAATACAGTTTTTCAATATTTATACATGAGAACGTAACTGGTTAATAGAGCACACACCACCTACCACCATCGCAAGGCTTCTCGCCGAGGTCTTTTTATCCAAAATCAGGGGGAAGTATGAAAAAAAACCATTGTTTCTAGCGGCAGAAGCACTGCAACTCATGTTATTTTATTAGAAATGAGCTTTTTTCAAAAGTGAAACCATTGATGAGTTACAAACCCTCCTCAAAACTTTCCTGCATCCAGATGCAAGAGTTCTCAAGTAATAATTAGTAATAATCCAGAGTATCCCTCTATTATAAAATAACAACAGTATGAGGCAATAACATGATATTTCAGCTTAAGTTTTCCTCCCTCACTAATAGAGTTCCCATTCCATTCCTCCTTAAACTGAATATTAACATCTTAATCCGTCCAGTGCAAAGGAAAATTGTCCATAAAAGTTTCACTCAGTTGGCTTCTCTTCCATTACAATATTCATTGAGTAAATTAAAATATGATTATTTCTTCTTCTAGGTGACACTTTCAGTTTTCGTTTTCCACATGCTTTAGAAAGAACAAAAAAAAAAAAAACCCAAGTTCGCCTTAGAGGGTGCACTGAGAATAATTAAAACATTTCCAAGGAGTTAAACCAGCTTAACTACTGCAGTTGTACTTCACAGTACTTCCCTCATAGGAGGCATCAGAAGCCATTTTACAAACAAGCCAATGAAAAACTAGAAACAACTTTCCCAAGACCACAAGGAAAAAAAGAAAAAAAAAAATCGGGAAGATCTGAAATTAGTGCACAGCTCAAACTATTGTTTTATCCATATTATTCACATTTTTTAACTTTTGAGGATGCCCCCCCTTGAATTCACATATAATTTAACATAAATACCAAATTAATAATTAAT